CTGATTGCACCACGCCTTGCGGGCATAATTTCCGCGCCGGATAAAATCCCGAATCTCCGGCCAGCGGATTTCCGCCCGCTCGCACAGATAGACGTCTCGGATCTTATCTGCAACGGAGTGTGCAGCTCCTCCTGAATCCGGAACAATCGCGGTATAACAGATCCGCCAGCGGATTCGTCCATGCATAAAATTCGCCTGCCATCTCCAAGCCTGCCATTTCCAGCCCTGCACGCCCTCGCAATGCGTCCGACACGGTATCGGGCAACGTCATAAAACCCGTTACCGTACGGATGCAAGCGTATCACCGCCTCGTAACGCCACATAACCCAAGCGTACCGTATCGCCTCCGTCGACCGACAGGCTAAGGTCGTATCCTTGCAACCGAAAATTTTCCGAACGCGGCGTTCGACATTTCTCCATCGTCCGTATGCAATCCGTAGTCTCCCGGCCGTCGAGCGAAAGGCGTTTTTCGGCAAACGACTTCGCGTCCGTCACACGGCCGCCCTCTTCTGCGAAGGCCCCGCGCAAACTCGCCGCCGTAAAAAAAGAAGCCAGATCCAATCCTGTTTCAAAGCTGTTCGGTCATTTCGGGCGTTATCCGTGCCGAGCCGACGCATCGGCCACCTCCGCCGAACGCAGGTAGACCACCGGCCCCGGACACGTTGCGCGCACGAGCAACACCGCAACGACTACGCACGCAAAAAAGGCGGCCAGCAAACGGACGAAAACCCTTTGACGGGCAGAACGGACACAAAAATCGGATCGTTTCATTTTCGGATATTTTCAGTTAAAAACAACTATCGTACGAAACACAGCCGCCGGTCGGCCAAACAACAAGGGTCACGCCTGCCGCCGATCGGTCTCGCCCGCGCTCACCACGCAAGCCGCCATCGCATCGCCGAAACATTCACCGCCGTAATCAGCATATCCAGCGGACGATCCATCGCAATGATCAGCGCGATCCCCTCGGCCGGAATGCCAACCGACACGAGCACCAGCATCAGGATGGCCATCCCGCCGCTGGGAATCCCGGCGTACGATCGACGAAACCGTCGTCAGCACGACGATCGAAAGCATCTGCGTCAGGGTCAGGTCGATCCCCATGACCTGCGCGACGAAAACGGTCGCGATGGCGTGGTAGCAGCTCGTCCCGTTCATATTGATCGTGATCCCGGTCGGCAGCACGAAGGAAATCACGTTGTGCGGCAAGCCCAGTTTCCGCATCTGTTCCATATTCACAGGCAGGCAGGCTGCGCTGGAACACGACGTAAAAGCCAACAACTGCACGGCAGCACCGCGCGCATGTAATCACCGAGCTTGGTCCGGGGAAAAAAAGCGAACGATCAGCGGATAGCATACCAACAGGATGAAAACCAATCGATCACTACCGTAAGGGCGTAATACCCGAGCGCCAGCAACAAATCCGAATCGCCGGCAAAGCTGACGACCAGATCGGCCATCAGCGCGAACACCCCAGCGGGGCGAACTTCATCACGTAACCGATGATCTTCAGAATAATCCGTTCAGCGATTCGATCAGGTTTTTCACCGGCGCGGATTTCTCCTTTCCGACAGCCACCATCGCCACGCCAAATACGATCGACAGCAGGATCAACTGCAACATGGCTGTGTTGTCGCCGGCCGCCTGCACGACGTTTTCGGGGATCACGTCCACGACGAATTGCAACGGACCGGAACTTTTCACCTCCTGCGCATCGGCGCGTCTCTGTTCGACAGCCTGCTCGTAATGACTCCGGAACTCCTCGGTCTTTTCGCGCGGAAAAACGTTACCGGCTGAATCGCATTGACGACGATCAGCCCGATAAAAATAGCGAACACAGTGGTAGTCAGGTAAACTCCGAGCGTTTTCAATCCGAGCCGGGACAGGTGTTTTACATCGCTCAAGTTCGTAATGCCGCTGATCAGCGATACGACCACCAGCGGAACCGCCACCAGGCGCAACATCCGGATGAAAATGGTTCCCCACGGCTTGACCCAATCGGTCACCAAATGCCCGCATCCGCCGGAAACAGCAGCGAAACCGAGCACGGTTCCGAGCGCCATTCCGATCAGGATCGTGATATATAGCGGTAATTCTTCATCGTTTGCAATCGACAGCCTTTCCTATCCGGGACTTTCACGGAACGGAGGCTTACGCACGACCGGATCTCGTTCCGGTAAGAGTCAAACAAATATAACGCAAAATCCCGGAATCCGAATATCCGGAATCCGGACGATCGGCCGAACCGTAATTACCTCCGCCGCTGCCGGCTTCGCGGGGACGTTTGCCGCTTCCCTGCCGGCGTCCGTAACGGCCGCCGGCTTACCGGAACTTCCGCTCCCTTTACGCGGCCCCGACCATGGAAATTGCGACGGCTCCCCCGCCGATCGCAAGCCGCCGGATCGTATTTCGGCCCTTTGCCGAGCCGTTCGGGAATCGGCAGCTTTTCGATCTCCCGCTCGATAAACTTCTCGATCCGCTGGAATTTATCCTGTTCCTGTTCGCTGACGAACGTGATCCCGGTACCGGTCGCACTCGCACGGGCCGTACGACCGATCCGGTGGATGTAATCTTCCGGGTCGTGCGGCACGTCGTAATGATCACCGTACCGATATCCTCGATGTCGATTCCGCGCGCCACAATGTCCGTAGCCACGAGGATATCGATCTTACCGTTGCGGAAATCGAGCATCACCGCTTCTCGCTGCTCCTGTTCCAGATCGGAATGCATCGCGCCGACGTTCAGCTTCATTTGCTTCAGCGTGCGCGCCAGCTCTTTGGTCTTCAGCTTCGACGACGAGAAAATAATCGTTTTCGTCCCCGAAGGCCGGGCGAACAATTCGCGGATAATTCCGATTTTCTGGTTTTCGTAACATACGTAAGCCACTTGGCTGATCGCCTCGTTGGGTTTGGATATGGCGATGTTCACCTCGGACGGATCGCGCAGGATTTGTTTGGCCAACTGCCTGATTTTCGGAGGAAGCGTCGCCGAGAACATCACGGTCTGCCGCTGGGCGGGCAACTCGGCGACGATCTTCATAATATCGTCGAGAATCCCATATCGAGCATCCGATCGGCCTCGTCGAGCACGAAATAGCGCACGTGCGACAGATCCACCCCGCTGTTCTGAATATGGGCCAGCAGGCGTCCGGGCGTAGCGATCACGATGTCGGAGCCCATGATCATCCCCTGTTTCTGCTGACTCCAGCCGATACCGTCGCCACCGCCGTAAACGACCGTCGTCGAAAGGGGTAAAAAGTAGGAAAAACCCTGAAACTGGATATCGATCTGCTGCGCCAGCTCGCGCGTGGGAACTACGATCAGCGATTTCACCACATTGTCCGGATTGCCCTCGTGCAGCAAACGGTCCAACAACGGAAGCGTATAGGCGGCCGTTTTGCCGGTGCCGGTCTGAGCGCAAGCGATCAGATCTTTTCCTTCGAGAATAATGGGAATAGTTTGTTCCTGAACGGGGGTCATCTCTTTGAAGTTCATCGTTTCGATTCCTTCCATGATGCCCTCGTGCAGGCCGAGTTCGTCGAATTTCATCTTTTTCGTATTAAAATCATACAAAGATACGGAAACAATCCGCTTTATTCCAGCAGGAACCGGCAAAAAACGATGAAAATATTCCAAACTGCACGCTTTCACGTTCCGGCCGAAAATACCCCGGCGCCGTTTCTTTGTACAGAGTACTACAAATCACGCGCATACCGGACAACAGACGAAACCCCCGGCCGCGCCTATCCCTCCCGTTTCATCGTCTCGATAAAAATCCGTTACCTGTGCCAGGCACTCTTCGGGCGTTTGCAATCCGTCGCAACGGGTTTCCAACGGACACCGGCCGGTATGCGTACGGTTGACGATATGCGGCACGCAAAGCCTGTAACCGGTGCCGACCGCATTTTTCTCCAGCAAATCGAGGGCCGGCCGGCTGATCACATCCGCAAAACCTCTTCGACGCCGCCCAAAGCCAGCAACGCTGCGGCCGCCTTGCCCACGACCTTATCCGCGACGAAAGCCCGCGCAGGAGCCCGGGTACCTCTTTCAGCAGCCGGTACAAGTCTTTCACGCCCCGTTCATAGAATACCCGCATATCGGAACCGTTACGAATCACGCACGAACACCGTTCCGCAAAGAGCCGGTCAATCGCCTGCCTTCGCAACTCCGGAGTTATTCCGTTTGTATCCCTTGCCATACTCCGTTCATTTTAGTTAGAATGCACGCCCCTGCTTCAGATCTTCGACGAATTTGTCGATGCGCTGCATCTCCGCGGGAATGTTGATGCTTTGCGGACAATGGGGATTGCACTGGTTTACAGCCGATGCAATGATTGGCCTGCCGCAAGCGCGGCACCGAACGGTCGTAGCCAACCAGAAACGCCCGCCGCGCTTTCCGGTAATTCGCATCCTGCGACGAAGAGGGCATATTACCTTCGTTGATACACTTGTTGAAATGCAGCAGAATGCCCGGAATATCCAATCCGTAAGGGCACGGCATACAATATTTGCAGTCGTTGCAGGGAATGGTCGGATAACGCAGCAACGCCTGCGCCGTCTCTTCCAGAAACTCCTTGTCCGAACCGGTCAGTTCCTCAAGCGGCGAATAGGTACGCAGATTATCCTGCAGATGCTCCATGTAAGTCATACCGCTCAGCACGGTCAGCACGCCGGGAAACGATCCCGCGAAACGGAACGCCCACGAGGCGACGCTCGCTTCCGGACGACGTTGCTTCAGTTTAGCGGCGATATGGTCGTGCACGTTCGACAGCCGGCCGCCCAGCAGCGGCTCCATGATGACGGCCGGAATACCCCGTTTTTCGAGTTCACCGTAAAGATATTCGGCGTCGGTATTCCTATCGTTGACCTCTTTTGGCGTGTTTCAGTCGACGTAATTGAGTTGGATCTGCACGAAATCCCATTTGATTCATCGTGCCGCGCAAGCAGGTAATCGAAGACCTCGATATCGCCGTGATACGAGAATCCCAAGTTTCGGACACGTCCCGCTTCGCGTTCGGCAACGAGAAAATCGAGCATCCCGTTATCGAGATAGCGTCCTTTCAGCGCCTCCATACCGCCCATACCGATGCCGTGAAGCAACAGGTAGTCGAGATAATCGACCTGCAACTCCTTGAACGAATTGCGGTACATCGCCAGCGAAGCTTCCCGGCTCCAAGTCGCAGGAGCAAAGTTAGACAATTTGGTGGCAATCAAATATTTGTCGCGCGGATGACGGCTCAGCGCAATGCCCGTTGCGCGTTCCGAACGCCCTTTACAATAAGCGGGCGACGTATCGAAATAGTTGACGCCGTGCGCGATGGCGTAATCGACCAGCGAATTGACCATCTGCTGGTCGATCTGCTCGTCGCTGCTGTCGGCAACGGTCGGCCAGCGCATACAACCGTACCCCAGCAACGACACGCGGTCGCCCGTAGTCGGATTAGTGCGGTAGGTCATCCTATCGGTCGGAACCTCGCCTTGCGCCGAGCGGTCGCCCGACGCCGGATTGCGCTTCGGACGGCAACCGGACAGCGCAACCGCCGAAACGGCCGCTCCCGCGCCGAGTCTTTTCAGAAATTCGCGCCGGTCTATTTTCTTTTTTTATCTTTTTTTCCATGAGTTCGCAATCTTAAATCGTTCTGTGATTTTCGTGTCCTTCGATATAGATCGCACTGAACGGACGCGCCGGGCAAAGGTTTTCGCACGCGCCGCAGCCGATGCACCGCTCTTCGTTCACAACGGGGATTTTCGGAGAATCCGCCGTATCGGGATCGGACGGAACCATCGTAATGGCTCCCGTCGGACAATGGCGAGCGCAGTTGCCGCAATCCACCCCGTCCGTAAGCGGCACGCAGTTCTCTTTCACCCAGACGGCATGGCCGATCTGAATCGACGATTTTTCCGCAAGACCGGTCAGGCGTATCGCATCCGTCGGACAAACCTCGGCGCATTTAGCGCACTCCGGACGACAGTAACCACGCTCATAAGACATTTCGGGCTGCATCAGGGTCGCCAGACGGGCCGAAGGCCGCAATACGCCGTCGGGACATACCGACACGCAGAGCTGGCAGCCGGTACAGTGGCCGCCATATTCCGGAGACTCCGGGCTCCGGGCGGGACGACGGGCGTCGCCCGATCCGGTATCTTCTTGTCCAAAATAACGGCCAGGCCGCCGTCCACTTTTTCTCCTGCGCCCGGACGGCTGCCGAAGCGGCCAACAGTCCCAGACCGGTCAAAAACTGCGGCGGGCTGTATCCGGCTTTCGCGTATCGCCGACCGCTTCGAAAGCGACGGCCGGTTTCGCACCGGTTTTCGCAAACCGGAACCGATAACGACGGCTCCCTGCCGGCAAGCGTCGATACAATCCATACAATCCACGCAACGGCTGTAATCGATCCGATGCTTCGACGAATCAATGCAGGCCGCTTTGCATTTACGCGCACAAAGACCGCAACCGTTGCATTTTTCCGTATCGATCACCGGACGGAACAGGGAATACCTGGAAAAAAAACCCAGCACCGTACCCACCGGGCAAATCGTATTGCAATAAGTACGACCGTTACGCCACGCCAGCACGATCAGCGTCACGAAAGTAACGGCGGCCACGAGAAAAGTCGGCAGGCTTTTCATCCACACCTCCGTCCGGTAGAAAGCGTAACTGCCGGCTCTTTCGGCCAGATAGGCCAGCAGGTTATTTCCCCACTGATACGCGGGAGCGAACAGGTTTTGCACGATGCGGCCGTAGGAACTGTACGGAGCGAGCAACGCCACCAGCGAACCGATACCGGCAACCGCTGCGACGACGAACAACGCCAGCGCACCGTACCTCAGCCACGATACGGCCGGCGAATACGAAAAACGGTATTTTTTCTTTTTCCGTTTCCGCTGATCCACGAAATCGCGTCCTGAAATACCCCCAACGGGCAGATCACCGAACAGTAGACACGCCCCGACAGAAGCGTCAACGCCAGCAGCGCCACGATTACGCCGACATTCAGCGCCAGTACCGCCGGCAAGAATTGAATTTTCGCCAGCCACCCGAACCACGCGTGCAACGTTCCCGTAAAATCGAGAAACAACAATGTGATCAGCGTAAAACAGACGACGGCGAGCGTTACTCTTATTTTTCGCAACATAGGCTTTTATATATTATCGTTCTTTCGTTTCCATCTTTTACTCCCCGCACCACAAAAATACCTAAAAACAGGCCATATCGACCGTACCCGAATTACGGATAATCCTACCCGTATTACAGACGGGAAACACGTGTGCATAAGGATATTTCCCCGATGTTCGCAAAATTAAAAAAACTTATAACAATTTCACGATCGCTTTTTATTTATAACGATCCGGAACGGAACCGTTCGCGCCCGCTTCGCGGGTTTCGAAAAAGGGTCCGCCTCGGCGAAAGCCGCCGCCGCCCGCTATGCATCGCCTGTCGCCAGACAGTTCCGGGCATCGGCAGGATTTACATTCCCGCCGCTTCGCAACGCGCCGACGCCGTCATTCCCACGTCCGGGCAAGAGTATCTGAAAACAAAAACATCCGTACAACCGCCTCACGGCCGGCTGTACGGACATCTGCAATTATCTCAAATCGCGGAGAAGGCGGGATTCGAACCCGCGATACCCTTTTGAGGTATACACACTTTCCAGGCGTGCTCCTTCGACCGCTCGGACACTTCTCCTAAAAACTTTTACTGAAACTTCCGAGCCGGGGTCGAAGTAGTGTTCGGCTCAAAAAGCGCAGCAATGTACGAAAAAATCCTGAATTATTAAAACCGGACGGCATTTTATCGCAAAAGATATTCCGTCGTAACGTTTACCGGCCCGCTCCGGGAGTGGAAAACGTCAGAAGAACGCGTCGCCGAATATCTTCCGGACGCTCCGGGCGGTCGTCTCCGCCACTTCGTCCGGCGAAATACCGTAAATCGCGGCGATCCGTTCGCAGATCAGCGGCAGGTAACCGCTTTCGTTCCGTTTGCCGCGGTACGGCACCGGAGGCAGGTATGGAGAATCGGTTTCGAGAAGCAGCTCGTCGAGCCGCATGGCCGGCAGCACTTCGGCCACGGCCGATTTTTTATACGTGACCGGACCGCCGATCCCGAAACAGAACGTCCCGACCGCCCGAATCCGCCGGTAATGTTCGGCCGTTCCGCAAAAACTGTGCATCACCCCGCGCAAACCCCGTCCGCCGAAATCCTCCAGCAATCCGCACATCTCGTCCCAGGCATCCCGCGTATGGATGGCGACCGGCAGGTCGTAAGCTAGCGCCAGTTCGATTTGGAAGCGCAACGCCTGCATCTGCTGTTCCCGGAAATCGCGGCTCCAGTAGAAATCGAGTCCGATCTCGCCGACACCGCAGAAACGAATCCCCGCGGGAGGCTCCTGCAAGTACTCCGCCACGCGGTCGAGATCGGCCCGGTAGTCCGGATTGCCATTCACAGAAGTCGGGTGCAGCCCCATCATCGGGCGGCAATACGCCGGATAACGCCTCGACAGGGCGAACATCGCATCGTAGGACTCGCGGTCGACGGCGGGCAATAGCATC